GCCGTCCAGTCTTTTAACAACATTTTTTATATTACAATCCACAATCTTAGATAACCCCTGAGCCCGACTTTGCCCAGAGTTTATTCTTTTCCAGATTCTATGTCACCCTCACCATCGAATTCTTCCTTTCTTATTTTAAAATTTTTTGTGTTGGAGGATGTGGCATTAATAGTAGCAGGTCGCTTTGCCCAGGTAAAGTGAGGACATTTTTTAAAAAAATGTCCTCTCTCTCCACAGCGGGTGCATTTCCCAGCAGTCCGAAGTGCATTGAAGTCGTCACTAGACCGCCATGGAGCAGGAGGCTTGCTTCCATCTATTCTTCCTTTTCCTTTATCCATCCTTACCGCGTTGACAATTGCAGATAAAGTCGCCATACTGATACCATTTATACCTGACATAGTCGTATCTCCGTCTGCATCTAAAAATGGTCTGTTATCTCTCTGGGACGCGCCAGCGACTGCCTTTCCTTCAGATGATGATTTATAGATAACCTCCGAATGACCATTGAAATTTGTTTTGGTATATTTGACACCATCCTTGAAGTTGTGGCTCTCGTTTGCCTCAATTCGACTCGCAGTTTGCTGTACTTGTTTTACAAACAAGGCATAATTGTCCTCCGCAACGTCTTTGGAATAAAGAGCTTTCGTCAGCCTTTTGTTCAATCCCATGTAGAGGAAGTTGATCTTTACTTTTCCTTCCCAGCTCAATCCTCTTGCTTGGGCTAGAGTGTATTCGAAGTCATTGAGAAAATTTGCGAATAGTTGATTGTCGCCTTACTTCATCTTCGACAGGGTTGATCCAGCTGTGCGAGCTGATGTTTTATCCTCGAATGAATCATTAAAGTGCTGGATAAAAACTTCGTAGTCCCAATCCAAATTAGGTCCTCCACATGAAAACCAGTGAGAAACTCGAAGCTTGCGATCTGTAGGGAGCGTATTCATCATTTCATTACAAACAGCCTTATGCCCCCCCAACATTTCCCAGTCACTCTCGATTTTGGCTGTCAGCTGGTCAATGTATACACAATAAGTTTCCGTGGCCCCATTCCATTCGGGCCACCTTGACAACTGCTTCTTTGCTTCTTGAGGTGGGGGTCTCGGAATATGCGGCCTTGGTGTATCCTGAACAGTTATGAGACTTAGGATATGATTTAATTGCTCTTGCGTGACTGTGAGGGGTGTTGTTGTCTGCTGTGCATCATCTACAGCATCATTTTTCGGCATGATGCTTTTTAGGTGAGCGTTGGAAGTTGATAAAGATTGATCAATTCGTGACTCTGATGATATTTCGGATGATTGCGATGATTCCGAGGAGGAATAGAAATTAAATTTTCCCGGGAACATGTAAACTTATAAAAACCAGGAGAGGTATGAAGACATTCGCTGGTAGTGTAAAAAGGAGAGATAAAATATATGTGAAGGGACTTCACATTTGTTGTTCACAATTATGGGTCCAAAAATGAATTTATATTTTATCTAAGGAGGAGAACATTTACAACGCGCGCGCAAGATGTTTTGTTCCAATCGAGCGCGTTTTCCCGTGACACTAGCGCGCTTTTGTTCATAGACGGAGCCGGATAGTTCCGGATCCACATACAAGGCTACAGCCTGTAACAGAACCGTCTCAAAAACCCTGAGTTATCAAGACATGCCTCCATCATCTTTCAACTTTTCTCCGCGCGAAATGTAATCCGAGATGTCTCCTTCCAAAGTGGCGTAGGTGCCCAGGCTACTCAGACTATACCGGAGAACGCCACCAGGAGGCGGACCACAACATTTTTCATCGTTTGCTTGTTTTTATAGTGTCAACTGCACTCTCGCAAGCGAAGTCTTGGCGCGCACAAAGTCCAATTCGTAAAACTCTTGCCAAATTTCGAAATTTCACGCCCGTCGAAAACGTATCCCTCTTCTGCATCATCTTGTAAACTTGTCCTGACCCCTCTCACGTCCATCCCAAAGAACTATCTCCCAGATTTGTGCGCCACACTTTGCTTCCTCCGTCGGGAATAAATATCGGCGTGGGCGTGTATTTGGCGGTCAACTAAGGCCAGAGAAAGTCGACTAGAGGTGTGATCATTGGGGTGAGGATGTACTATGTCGTACTTGTAGACTTGATGAAGCTTAGTCGAGAATCGGACTCTTTGGGAATGAAAGATTGACGTGGTGGAGTAATTTGAATTTTGCCTCGTGGGCCAACTTCTTTGATATTGCGAGCTTTGACTGAACTTGGCTCTGGAGGAATATTTCACTCCCAGGTTTCGTAGAGGACACCGCGTACAGGTGTTCAGTCTTGCCGTCCTAAAAAAGAAGTAAGAGGTCAATGAATGCGAGCCAGCGGTCATCTTTCGGAGTAAAAACGTTCACGTCTCAGCTCAACAGGATCTACTCGGTAGACTGGCCCTGTTGAAGTTCCACAGCACCATCCAACCATGACTTCACTGATAAGCGGAATCATGACCGTTAGACCATCAAAGATATGTTAAAATCATCCCTCTGCATCATCTTCTAAACTTGTCCTGATCTCTCTCACGTCCATCCCAATTCTCATTACCTTATTCTGTAGGTTCTAAGCTATCAGATGTTTGACAACTGTCCTTCGTTACCTACAGGAAGTGCAATTGGCCGCCGGCAAAGACGAATTCTTAACCATCCAGTTGTGCCGCTGTAATCGCTCAGTATGCTCTGCACATCTAGGATAGCCAAGAAGAATCGCATCCGAATCGAAGTCGACGACTTTTCGTCAATGTCGGACTTATCATTCTCACGCGAGTCCTCCTCAATCTTACTATACCAACTCGTCTTAAATACCGATAATGGCGTTACTACAATTGCAATCGGGCATTTGTCTCGTCAACAATCGGCCACCTCCAACTACAAAATTACGATGCTGTGTATACCCGCGAGGAGGAAATTAAGTCATAACCTACAAATCTCAGGTCTTGGTCTATGGGGGACCGTTGCTCTAATGGGGCTTCACATCTTGAGGGAAGATAGGCAGCTAGGACGTGGGACGAACGAGTGAAGAGATCACAAATTGGCATGCTGGGACGTACATTTTTCCAGTGGTTTCGACTCAAGGATGTCTGTGGGCACAGAGACAACGATTTGGGACAGTGCAACCGACACTCCAATAATAGACAACGATGGAAGGTGTTTTGGTCCGCCACCTGATCTTCATTTCCCCGAATTAAAGTCTGGGTAGCCTAGACACCTATCTTACTCGAGAAAGGGAGGAATGTGAGGCCATATCTCGCGCGGCGGCTATATACAAGATGACAAAGCCATGTCAGGGTAGCCAAAGGTTTTTCCGGCTTTCCCTTTGGTGGATATTAACGGTTGTGGGAAGGGTGAAAGTCCCTAGCACAAGGTTTTTGAGTGGTACCAGCGAGTGCACCCTCTAAATTAGTGGTCCTAATTTCAAACTGAATTATCGTCTAAATGGTCATCAGAGAAGGAAGTTTTCTTCGAATCAAGCTCTTTCAGCGCAGGGTTTTTGCCCGTCACGATTAAACGTTCTTTCATCCAGAATAGAATTTCGTGCGAGCAAGCCAATATGTCACTCCGAAGCTTCAGATGCAAGTGAGAGATATTGTATAAGGAAATGGTTGAACTGTCCTTTGCAGCTATTGATGGTGACATGAATTAAGATTATGATTTTGATTGAGATAGATTTCTATATTGTTTATAATACATGACATGCTCAGTTTCATATACCTCGAGGCAAGCAACCAGATTATGTTCCTCCAGATCTAGATTCATCAGAATAATTACTTACTCAGTAAAATTCTCCTAGTCTCAGTTGTGTGTTTAGGATCTTCATTAGGTTTCTAGTAACTAGTCAATGATGTTTCTCATATCACTGAGACATAGTCATGGTTGATACAACAGGTACAAACAATGAGTCGTGCCTGTACATGACGTTGTGATATAGTCATGATCGTCTGAACAATATCAACTCATGAATGAATCATGTCTCTACATGACGTATTGCGAGCTGGGCTAACGCTAGCTCCTGATAACTTGTTGCCCGCAAAATGTTTTGACCTACGCAGGGATCGAACCTGCAATCTCTTGATTCGTAGTCAAGCGCCTTGCCATTGGGCCAGCAGGCCTGCGATTCAAGCTTCAATAATTAATCTTATTCATTACCTACTCACTTTGTTGGTAACTCAACCTACAAGATGGCCAGAACATCATCCCCGTAGCTTAAACTTAGATGGCGCAACTCTTGAATATGAGTCATAATTTTTGCACTCCAATTTTGACTCACCCGTTATATTTCTCGTATGAGGTTCCCTATCAGATTGACTCCCCATACACAAACCCCCGAGTGCACTGATCGCATCTACTGTCGCATATACGTTTGGATATTTACGTAATCGTTGTTTCTCAATCCTAGAGCGACGTCTGATGAAGGTTTTCTTTGGGCAAAATTAACAAATAAATTATATTACGCTTAAATTTATCGACTAATTCAAAGTTCCTTCCTGATTAGTTTCAGGGTTAAATATACTCCAATCATGATTGGGATACTGTTGGTAAAACACGAAGTAATAAAAATTGGGTGCCGTCACGAAGTCAGTGAATAATGTCAATTAACTGATATCTCGAAATACATAAAACACTGTCTACTCTTCTCCTCTTCTCCTCTTCTCCTCTTCTCCTCTTCTCCTCTTCTCCTCTTCTCCTCTTCTCCTCTTCTCCTCTTCTCCTCTTCTCCTCTTCTCCTCTTCTCCTCTTCTCCTCTTCTCCTCTTCTCCTCTTCTCCTCTTCTCCTCTTCTCCTCTTCTCCTCTTCTCCTCTTCTCCTCTTCTCCTCTTCTCCTCTTCTCCTCTTCTCCTCTTCTCCTCTTCTCCATCTACCCTTTCTTCCTCTACTCCAAGCGCCTCGCTAATGAGCTAAGTTAGATCCCTGTCAGTGTCCTAACGACAACCTGAATACTGCAATAAGATAGAACAATTCGTACTGCCCAAATATGATCCATTTACCGACAGATACTGGATGCGAGAGTATCCCTACAGTTTGTTTGTTTGTTTTCTATTTTTCGTCCGTCGGGGCGCCAAGCTTGACTTTGGTCCCTACTACCCACTAAACTACCTAGAGGCATGGACGTCAGTGCTTACTACCCTGGTGGCTTCACCCTTGCTACTTCCTAACTAGGTTTGCAGGGCAATTCTCTAATTACATGATTGCGTGTAGCATAGCACCTGCACTTCTTCAGCCAGTCCCCGAGACTCTTTACTCATTTGATTTATAAAAACCACTCTCGAGATACTACCACTAGATCCATTCATAAATACCGCACCATCTTTCTATAATGCGAGGCTCAGAGTTGGGGCAGAGTTGAAGACCTATTTATTTCTTCTCTGGGGTTTCTAGGGCAGGTCTTTATGTAAAACTCTGAAATGGAAAGCCACTTTGCTACACGTAGGGCCCCTTCCCAGGTTCCTAGCAAATATTTCTTTGGGTCCCTTGAAGATGCTGGAGCTCGAGGAGGTCTATGAGTGGTTAGGTGGCACTCTAGGAAGTGCAATGGGGCTTTCAGCTGTCCGCAGCCACAATGAAGGTTAGCACCCTCGTGGTTTAAACGGCGGTGGTACTCTGCAAAGCCACCATGTCCTGAGCGGGCAGCGTATAGTCTAGAGAGAAATGGACTGGCTAATGAGAGTTCCTTAGGATTACGAGAGTATGAGTCAATGGCAAGCTCCCTGTAGGATACTGGGGCATGTCGGTCTTATCGACATTGAACGTGTTGTTGATTTTGTATATGTATGTCTGTTATCACAGACATTGGAAATAATTCATGAGATTGCTTAATGAGTGGGTAGATTTGATTCCGATATAATATTGTAGAAGACATATCCCTACTATCAGAGGGCTACAACGTCTTTATCTATCTACAGGTAAATTCCCCATATTCCAACCACGCTAGCCATACAGGACGTAGCATCTAAAGCCTGATTCGTATCATCATTTTGGGGCTGAGGTTTACCGTGCATATGCTACTCGAGTCGCATGTCTGACTACTATGCGACATGCTTAGGTATCAATCTAAAAACCCACACCAAAACCGAAACTACTCACAACCCTGATGATGACCTGTAAGGATTCCTCTTCCGATCCTTTCTTTAGGATATAATTTTACCTTTCTTCCTATGTTGCTATGACAACAGGACAGTTCTTGGCACATGGTATCATGTTGATATTATGTTAAGGTCTATGTTAGGATGAGCTAGTGAAAGGAGGGCAGGTATATATACAATGGTTTGGTCTGTAGGCCTAGAGTTCTTTACGCTTAGTCTTCTGTCATAACCACCACCTTCGGATCACCTCTGGTCACCTATAGTCGCCTCTAGTTACCTTTAGCACCTCTAGTCACCTCTAGTTACCTCTAGTACCTTTAGTTATCATTAGTACCCTCTCGAACCTTTAGACCTTTTAAATACTTAGATTAACCATCTTTCAACCCTCAATTTCCTCCATATTATCTCTAGTATACCTTCAGTCATCTTTCGCCGTCCATTTAATATCTTCTAGCCCTTCGAATTCGCTCCAGCTCAAACGTCTAGACTCCAATCTGACATGACCCCATGAATAATTGTAACAGTAGCCTGCAATATAGCACAATTAGGCTAGACATAGTTGACCAGGACCTAATCCGAACACGGTCCCAGTAGTCTTTCATAGCCGCCGATACTTCTGCCTTGATGCGATTTTTCGCGGTATCAAAAGAAACGTACCCACGGGGTATAGGCGGGGTTTTTGAAAGTCCCTCCCGGACAGAGGAGTCGGCCAAAACGTTACCCAATATATCAGAGTGGCTTAGGATCCAATAAGCCTTGACTTTCCCGGAAGGGATGTGTGGGTGCCGAGTGCGAAGGGGCCAGTCTTGGGAGAGGGCTTGTATTTGTTGAAAAACAACTTGCGACGAGCAAATTGGGGACTGAAATAAAAGGCGAGCTACTTCCAGGTTATCTGTGAGTATCCAAATATTTTCTGAGAAGCGTGCTGTTGGTAGGGAGAGCGCAGCTTTGAGGGCTTCTTTCACAGCGGTCACTTCTGTGTCGAAAGGAGACAGCGTCGAGTCAAGGGACAGACTCTCGCAGTAAACCATCTGGCCAGCTTGAAAGATAACAATTCCACCGCCTGTCCTGGGCGATTCTGCTCTCTCAGATCGAGCGCCATCTGTGTAGACTGCTAGATCTCTGAAAGGGATGCCAGAAGGGAGATTAATGGGAGGGTGCGTAACTCGCCTTACACTATTATACCTTGTTTCACTTTTGAGCCATGGCGGCTGAATCAGAGGGTCGATCGTTTCAGTGTTCGGAATTTGGAGAACCCAGCTCGCAAGACGGGAGACTCGTCGATTGTGTGCCTGGATCCATGTGGCTCTTTGCCGGAGTGGGTGTCTAGGGTCCAGGCGTTGGATGCGCAATGCCGTGAATTTTGATTTAGAGTCCAGCTCTAAAGCAGGAGGGAGGAGACCTGATTCACGGTACAAAATAGGGATTGGCGTAGTCCAATATACAGGTAGGATAGTATTATTAGATGAGGTTACCTAGGGGTTCAATACTGACTCTGCTACTCGTATGTAAATGGAGTGTGGTCTATAAATACTGCGCTTGTAGATAGTTGATTGTAGATACTAGTAAAGATGCTACGCACTTTATTATGTGCTGAAAGATAGAAAGATGTACAGACAGAAGATGGTTATGTGCTACTGACTCAATGTACTTCGGACCACACCTAAATTACTCTCCTATCACCCTTGCAGGTTCACCCTTGCAGGTTCACACCATACTAATCCCACCAATCATAGCGCGGCTATTCCTGTTTGTCCAGCAGTCTACAATAACATCCTTATTAAGCGCCATAGCATAACGTTTATGCAGGTATGCATAAACAATTCTGAGCTATTCCTAGATCACAACACTCCCCCTGACAATTATTATTGTCAAATGTGTAAGATAATACTCAGCTCTACTACTCGATCTCTACAGGTGAGTTTGCTTTTGTTAGACTGTCGGCAAGTTATAGCTTTGACTCCACATAAGTAACTGTTATTGCTCCTTGTTGTGAATACCTCGGGTCAGCTCTGATCGAGCCTCATCGGGCTCCCACCATCGCGGCACTCGGACACTCGGCCGCAGTAAGCTAGATGAGATTAGGGCACTGGCAGCACAGCTAAGTACCTAATCACTCTGGCAACATCCCTACATCCGAGCGTTGCCTGGTGGACCAATGCGTTTAGACTGAGGCGCACATCACTCTGATGGCTACCGAGGGGCAACAGCATATAATGTGACGACGGGGTATAGCTCTGCAATCCCGGGAGTTCCACACTAGCAACCAGTGTCAATAGTATGTTGTGACAGGAGATATTGGTAGGGGCTATGGAAGCGGTTACTGTGACAGAAGTAGGAAGCACCTGTGGTGAGTGCGTGATCAGGACTGGGGTACTGAATGTATATATAAGGAAGCAATACTTCCGCAGATAGATTGTAAATTAACCATCTCACTACTGTCCATTCCAACGCTTCTTCTCACTACAGCCATATCAATTATATCCGCGCATCCATAATCATTTGCATCCATTTCAGGTATTCCTCTGTCCCCTCATGACCTCGTTATCATAACACTCCTTTCATATGTTGTTCCCTACAATAATGATTTCGAAGAGCAATGTGCTTAGAGCGCTTATAGTTGTCATGATTCTTAATAAGTGAAATAGCTGCTTGATTGTCTACAAAAAGGGTTGTCTGTCTTGATGTCACGGTTTCATTACAAAATGCATGAGCAATGTTGTAGGTACAATATTTTAATTATAATTCTCTGAAGAGAGAATTTCTGTACTTAATGACTACCTATATACACAGACTGAAATACCCCTCCTCGATAAGGTTCTCTCTATGACCTGTCAACTCAGACTCTCCGACAATTGCCTGTAGATCCTTGATACTTCTGTAACCCTCATGAACTCTCAGTAGGTTTCAACAAGGCTCAATGTGAATCATCTAGGTTCCTTGTCATACAAGATCTTCGCAGGAACCTCCCTTCGTATAATTGCCTGCGCTAGACAGCGTAGGCTACAGGAACCCTTAGGCTTGACAGCCGTCACACTTGATCCTTCAATTTTATCTTGGAGACCTAATTCTTCTATTAGTGACTTTACCTGACTTAGCTGTCGACAGGTCTCTGTTGCAGCTAGATACTCTGCCTCAGTTGTGGATAAGACAACATTCCTTTGAAGGTGCGATCTCCAACACACTGGCCCTGATGCTATTTTAATCAGGGATCCTGTAGTTGACCTACTTGTTGTTGGATCTCCTGTAAAGTCGGCATCGGTATATGCATTCAGAACTGGCTGTCCTTCTTTTCTTGTGAACACAATCCCTCGATCCGGATCTTTTGCTATATAGCGGAGCACCCTGCGAGCTGCATTTTGGTGTTCTGCCGATGGATTTGTGAGGAAACGAGCAAGGTGATTAACAGAATGAGCAATGTCTGGGCGAGTATTGTTGGCTAGGTATTGAAGTCCACCCACAATGGAGTTGTACTCAAATTTCGCTTGATCGGAGCATTGTGAGCTACTTGCTTCCATAAGTCGCTCCATCGGAGTATTTACCGTCTTACACTCTGTCAAACCATGCCTTTCTAGAAGTTTACGAGCATACTATCCTTGTGACAACTTAACGGTCTTTTTGTCTGGATTACTTATATTGATTCCAAGGAAGAGATCTGTCTTGACTAATTTCAACTTGTACTTTTTGTGCAAGTTGCGCATGAGGTTCTCTACTTTTTCCTTATCAGGTCCCATAACCTGAAAATCATCTACATGGATGATAACAAAAAGATTACGCTTCCTGTTGGTATACAGACAGACATCTGTTGTTGTGGGAAGTAGTCTTTCATGGATAAACGTGGCGGAAACTAGGATGGTGTCTCATGGGGAGTTCCATTCTAAAACACAACTCGGGGTTAGATCAAGTTCTCAAACAATTAGGACAGGCTCAGGAACATAGGGTCGTTTCATAGGGAATGCGTAGTAATACTGTTCGAGACAGAGCTTAGGGCTGTCCTATTATCTGATGTACATATATACCCAGCGTGAAGGAGTATTCTTCTTCACGCAACGTCTTCTGTTTATACTCATACCTATTGTTCACTTACTTATCTCTTCTCTAAAGAAGACCGCCGTTATTGTACCCTTCTCACTTACTACTTATTTTACCTTTACTTCTTATGTGAACCCTATAC